ATATCTGAAGGAGATCTGGTGCAAAAGCCGACAGACTAACCTCTGATGCTGACCCCGAGTGCACATCGCCGTGGCCAGGTCCCTGGGATGGTCCAGGGCCCTGGTTCTTTCCCAGGCCAGGGCGGCCGCGGGGCACCAGCACCACACGTGCTCGGTTGTGGCCTCTCCAAGGCCGCAGAGTGGACAGACTCCGTAGAGCCCTTGCCGCATAGGGACCTGGATGCTTACGTGGCGTCTTCTACGCTCGGCCGCTAGGGCGCGAAGGTCTTCGGGGAGGGCGTCATCGTCCAGAAGGGGCCAGAGCGCGGCCTCACCCGACCAGGTCCTAAGGCAGGTGTCACACCAGGCCTGCCAAGCTCTCTTGGCGGGTCTGCCGCAGCTGCACTGGTGGGGGATCCTGTCGGCAACGCCTCGCCGTCGTGCGGAGCCGGGCAGGCCGTTGGCCAGAAGCCGGAGGACGTGGTGTGCCTCGGTGAAGGATGCACAGTGTTGCAGAAGGGACCATTCAGCGCCATCTGTCTGTGCCCACCTGCGTTCGTCACTGGTTGCGGTGAACCATTTGTCCACGATGTGTCCATGTAGCTGCGACCAAGCCGCGACGCAGACCACCCGACCGAAGTAGCGAACACGCAATCGGGCAGGCTCCCTTATCGCTCGGTTGAATAGGTCGGCTGCCCTGGAGTCAGTCAGAGCCTTGGAGCCGGGTCTAAAGGGCCCTTGCCGTGGCGGAAATTCCCGGGCCCATTTCCTGAGTTTGTTCCACCTCCTTCCGGCCTTCTGTCGTGACTGGAGCGGGCCCCACAGGTCATCAAGGACGTAGGCTCTGGCTGCAATCGCGCGCGCGGTGGCAACAGGGCACTTGGGGCAGCCAGGGACCTGAAACCGGATGCTCAGGCCAGTGAGAATGTTGTCGGGAATCCACGAGGCCGAGGCCATGCCAACACATGCACGGATGGATGGATACTCTCTCTCAACAGCGGGATCCCGCCTCAACGCCGAGCACATTCGTCTTACAAGTGTGTAGCAGTTGCAAGGATGTGGGGCCTCTCCGGTTTCAAACTGGGCTCTAGCTCAAAGGCCATCGTCAACAGATGTGATAGCTGCACCGATGGACGGCGACTCGTTTTCAAAATGCAGCTCTCGCTTGGGACTGCCTCGACATGGCCAGAAATCTGCTCCTGTGCAGCAGCTGCACGGATGAGGTGGCTCTCTTTTTGAAAATGGGAATCTCGCTGGACGCCTCGTTGAACTGTCTGATGTACAGTCGGGGCGTCGACCTAAGGAACCCTGAATAAGGAACGAGGCCACTTTTTCCATAAGTTAACATTCGATTTCCTGTCGAAAACATTAGGAAAGCCTGAGGCAAGCTGTGAAACACTTAAGGAACGCGGAGCCCCTCCCCAACGAAAAGGGTTCCTTCTTCAGGGCCCCGACTGTATGACGATACTGCTCACATTCCTGACTCCCCGCTAGAATGCGACAGTGCAGACCATCTTCAAAACGGGGCTCTCGCCTGAATGGCAGGCGCCAAGGGCGCTGATCTTTCGAGGGGGGCGCGAGGGCGCCTCCTGTAGAAAAACAAATGTAAAGACTTATGGGAAGACTTGGGACGGGAAGGCGCGTTCAGCATCGCTGATGGTTTTTTGAATTTACTCTGGCCCTCCTCCTCCTCCTTCTCCTCCTCCTCCTCCTCCTCCTCCTCCTCCTCCCCCCATCCCTCTCCCGCAAGCACAAGGGGGCCCTGGGCGCGCCGACCATTTTGGCTCCAACCGTGCCCATGGTTCCTGCCTCGGCGGCTCATCGCGCCGTGCTTGTGGCACCTGAGTGAGAACGTAAGCAATTCTACAGGGTGGCAAAGATCGAGGCAAATTTCTCCAATGGAAGCTACGGGACGCGCCCGCGAGGGGCGCAATACGGTGAAGGGGAGCACGACAGACCGGAAGATGCGCAGACAGCACGCAAGGATCTCAGCAGATAACCTCATTAGACGCTTGTATACAGAGATTGCGACATTGAAGTGGAAGATAGACAGTTATGACGCTTGGTACTGGTCTTGGGCGAAGGCGAAGCACGAACCCAATGCCATCAGCTACAACGACGAGGAGTCTTGTACGGTGGCAGTGGCGGAGGCGAAGCACGAGCCCAACGCCATCAGCTACAACGGCGACGATCCCGCGAAGTCTTGTACGGCGGTGGTTGGGGACGCAAAGCACGAGCCCAATGTCATCAGCTGCGACGACGTGAAGTCTTGCACGGTGGCAACGGCGGAGGCGAAGCACGAGCCCAATGCCATCAGCTACAACGACGACGTCGATCCCGCGCAGTCTTGTACGGCGCTAGTGGCGGAGGTGAAGCACGACCCCAATGTCATCAGCTGCAACGACGTGGAGTCTTGCACTTTGGCAGCGGTGGGGGCGACGCACGAGCCCAATGCCATCAGCTACAACGACGACGACTCCCCGCGAAGTCTTGTACGGCGCTTAGTGGCGGAGGCGAAGCA